TGAATCCACTGGAATCTGCAGAAGGCCATAACTCCTCACCAGACCACGCACAGAAAGCAGAAAGTGTGCTGGCATCCCAACAGAAAACTCAGGGTTAGCATGATTGTGACAGAGGGTTCCCATATAGGGCTGGACCTACAGTACACAACGGGGCACTGACCATTCACCTCTTATCTAACGGGGCCATGTGGAGATTGGCATGTACCTAGGATTAAAAAATCCGGGGTTAAAATAAAATAAAGATCTAACGCTTGCTAGTCAAAATCAAGAGGCTCCCAAAATGCCAACTGATTTTACTCGGTGGAGCCACGATTCTGTCCGGAAGTAAAATTTAATTATGGAGCTGAAAATATAAACACGAAAATATGCTCAAATAGGTAAGACTCTCCTTTTACATTTTCAACAGAGAGTCTTTTAATGCAATTACTGTAATTTTATTAAATGGCATAATTAGTTAATGCCTGAGAAGTTGTCAATGGAAGGTGCAATTATGTTGTAAAAATTATAACCACAATTTGCAATAATGGATTGTTCGTAGAAAAAAATGCTGAGAAAAACATTTAACATATTTTGAAAAGTATATAATGTGGTCCTTTGTGGAAAGGAAAGTTTGGGAAATCATCTGAAATGTTAAATAAATCAAATAATAAGCTGTCAAATAGTTTAAGCATTTTATGTATTTATATATTTTGCATATAAGCATATAAAGGTATGCATTTAAAAATATTTTGCCCTAGCTGGTTTGGTTCAGTGGATAGAGCATCAGCCTGCAGACTGAAGGGTCCCGGGTTCGATTCTGGTCAAGGGCACGTGCTGGGGTTGTGGGCCCGATCCCCAGTAGGGGGCGTGCAGGAGGCAACCGACCAATGATTATCTCTCATCATTGATGTTTCTCTCTCTCTCTCTCTCTTCTTCTCTGAAATCAATAAAAATGTATTTAAATATATATATCTTCCCAGCTGGTGTGGCTCAGTGGTTGATCCTTGACCTATGAACCAGGAGGTCACTGTTCAATTCCTGGTCAGGGCACATGCCTGGGTTGTGGGCTCGATCCTTAGTGGGGGTGTGCAGGAGGCAGCCAATCGATGATTGCCTCTCATCATTGATGTTTCTTATCTCCCCACCTCTCCTTTCCTCTCTGAAATAGAAAAAAAAATCTTCTCCTCCAGGGAAAGTGATTATTGTAACTTTTTTCAGCTTCAGGGAAATCCTGTGGGTCTTTGAGCTACAACTGCACAAACACCTACCAAACAGACAGCGAGGTCTGCTTTGCACATGTGACTGTGACTTCCGGCGGACGGAGAAACAGCTGCTGAAATTTAATCATAGGCAGGTACATCTAGTTGCGAATACACTGGTGATAGGACTTAAAGAAAAGGTACATTTTTTTAGACAGAGCTAACCCACAAATATCTAAGGCTTCAAAAAAAATATTTGACCAGCACTATGTTAATAGTCCATGTGAAAACAGATTTTCAATTAATGTTGAAAATTAATGTTGTCATTAATGTTCCTTGGGCCACGGAAGGGATCCTAGACAAGCGATCCTTAAGATTTCATATTAAAATGGTTCCTAAACTGTACTCACAAGATGTTACACAGAGAAATGTTTTTGTTTCCCAAATGCCCCCTGCTTGTGTGTGTGTGCGTGTGTGTGTGTGTGTGTGTGCGTGCGTGCGTGTTGGGTTAGGGTTAGTTCTGTTATTGCTGCTCTTGCTTTTAAGTTATTTTTATTCTTTTTAATATTTCTTTCATTGATTTCAGAGAGGAAGGGAGAGAGAGATAGAGAAACATCAATGATGAGAGAGAATCACTGATCGACTGCCTCCTGCACGCCCCCTACTGGGGACCAAGCCCACAACCCGGGCATGTGCCTTGAACGGAATTGAACCCTGGGCAGGCCAATGCTCTATCCACCAAGCCCAACCAGCTAGGGCTAAGTTTAATATGAAATCATTTCTCAAAATTCTGGGATCTCTACACACGAAGATTTCTGAATATGCTAAATATGGGATATCATTGAGAAAGTCGAGAATTGTATTTTTAACTTTATTGGGGTGGGGGGGGGGGGCGTGATTGATGCTTTAAATTAAGCATCATATTACAGGCCCTGTCAGCTCTGAAGAGTACGTTCTTCATTTTTCTGCACTCAAAACATTCAGGGAAAAGTCACAGATGTGAGAAGCCCAGCTTTATGAAGATGCCCATTGATATATGGCAGATTTAGATTACTTCTTAACATCAAACGTCCAAGAAAAAATTTAATAAAACAAGGAATCTATCAATGCCCCCACAGACTTGCCTCCCTGGCTGCAATAGGTGTGGGCCTGCGGGACTGGCAGGACAGCCAACTACACAAACGCAGCCCTTTTCTGCAGCACGAGGGGGCCTTTGCTGTCTTAAATAATCTTCTGAGGATGCCATCTGTCAAATGAAGGCTGTATTGTCCTATGAAAAAATTAATGCATTTATGCCATAATGTATCTTTGGGTCTTTTAACATATAATATTGGGGTGTGAGAAATTTAAGTACCCGATAGAAAACCAACCAAACCAAACCAAACCCAAACACCCACAGATATAATTGATTCTATAATGCCCATATCACAATGCAACATTACCTTTTGAAAACAAATTCAATATATATATATATTCATATATATTCATATATATTCAATATATATATACAAATTATATATATTATATATTATATATTATATATTATATATTATATATTATATATTATATATTATATTATATAATATATATGTGTATATATATGTATATATATATATACATATATATATATATATGTATATATATTATACCAAACCAATAAAGCTCAGAAAAGGACATAAAAATGTCTAGAAAAATGTAGAGGAAAGAGAAAGACTTAAAAAACCTAATGAGCAAACTTTCCCATCATCACTCTAACAAAAACATTGAGCCAGCAGAAGCGTGGTTTGGTGGAATGCTCTGGCCACTCCAAGAAAGCCCAAATTTAATTTCTTACAATAACAACGGATTCAACAGCATACAGCAACATCCACACTTGTAGTGTATTAAAGAGAATTCAAGCGAACTTTCTTCGCTTACTATTGGGAATACAACCCCAATGTCTATGTGGGTAGGACTGACCCCATGGTAGGGGAGGTTTATGCTTGGACCGTCCAACAAGATTAAAGTTATTTCATGTCGGCCCATCCACTTCTGACCGGCCACCAAGTGGACTAGGTCTTAACAGACTGCTTTTCTTCCATGCCTGCTTTCATCAAGATATGATATATTCATACACACATCCACAGGAATCTAGAAGACGGATGGTTTGCTTTCACAAAGTCTTTAAAATTAACAGCCAGAATATACTAAACGTGATCCTGTAACATTCTTCCTTTGTGTCATCTGAAAACAGAGACATTAACATGATATTAACAGGCTCTTTCAAGTTATCTGACAAAACAGAAGGGAGAACAAAATTCCTACACCTTTGCCCTTAGCGTGTGGGGCTAGTGGGACTCCCAGGACCTGGAGGAGAAGGAAAAGCCCCCTGGGGACTGCTTCACCCAAGGGTCCTCTTCACACCTGTGGAGGGAACCCTGACACACCGCAGCCCAATCCTATATAACGAAAGCCTAATATGCAAATCAACCATTTTGCAGAATGACCGGTTGCTATGATGTGCACTGACCACCAGGGGGCAGACGCTCAATGCAGGAGCTGCCCCCAGTCCGCAGGCCCCAGGCCAGCCAAGGCGGGTGCCAGCAGGGGCCCCTCCAAATGCCCCACAAATCGATCCTGATCACCAGTCAGGCCTGGGGCCCCTACCCGTGCACAAATTTCATGCACCAGGCCTCTAGTTTCTAATATATAAAGGCCTCCAGCCAGGCCAGTGTGGCTCAGTGGTTGAGCATCAACCTATGAACCAGGAAGTCATGGTTCCATTCCCAGTCAGGGCACATGCCTGACTTGTGGGCTTGATCCCCAGTGTGGGGTGTGCAAGAGGCAGCCAGCCAATGATTTTCTGTCATCATTGATATCTCTCTCTCTCTCTCTCTCCCTCTCTGCAATCAAAAAATATATATATTTAAAACTGAAAACAGCGTGTTTAAGTGAGCACTTTCTACCCCAGTACCTTCAGCACAGCCCAGAGAGAGAGGTTATGCCTGCATCATTCCTACTTGATTCTGTACTTTTTCCAATGATGTCCAATGAAAACTACCCCCCCTCCCCATAGAGTGGGGCCTCCCGCAGTCTCATGAACCCAGGGATCCTTGCAAAATCACAGTCTGGAGCCCAGCACGAAGAGCACCCCTTTATTTTCTGTCCCGCGGGCCCCCGAGATTTGAGGGCGACATGGCAGCCTGCGTCTGCACAGGGAACGGCCCAGCAGAGGGAACAGACCATGCACCCCCCGTCCAAGCTCCGCTCCCCATCAGAAGTCCCCACACAAGACAACCTGGTCCCCCTCCTGGGGTGTAATCTTTCCTCAGATCAGCCCGGCAGCCCATTAATCATGGCTGTCATTCTCCTGCATGACCCCGGGCAACAGAGCTGTTTTGCTACAACTCCCGGTGCCAGAAATGAAGCTCAAGAAAGAGGAAACGCTCTGCTCCTGGCAGAGGCCGGCCGGGGTGCCCACTGGAAGAAGCCACCAATGGTGCTGACTTTCCTTTTTTTGCCCAGAACATTCCATGGAAAGTTTGTAAGAGAACTCGGGTAGGAAGTGGAGGTAGAGAGGCTGAAGAGGAACCCAACATGTGACCGAGGTACGTGCCCTCATCCGGAATCGAACCTGGGACCCTTCGGTACCCAGGCCGGCGCTCTAACCACTGAGCAACACCGGCCAGGGCCCATTTAGGTTTTTCAGTTTCCTTCCAGGTGTGAACTGTTACGAGGTTCTGTGTTGCATTTTGCTTCCTGCCAGTTAACATAAAGCCCGTGTTCTGCACGTGAACTTGGGCCCCGGAAACGAACAACATGAGCCTGAGAGAGGCCGCTCACCACAAACGCGATGGAGCTCCTCAGCGTGGACTCCCACTGGAAGCAGCTTTTCAGGAACTGGAGTGTATTCCATATCGCCATGGTGATCCTTTTCACGCGGTCCACATCTCTGGATAAGATCTGGTCGGAAGACACGGGAAACAGAGAAGGAGATTTGAATGCTCCACGCAGTCAGTGTGGATCAGGCAGCCTGGTCGTCTCCATTGTATTCTGTATTGCTGCCCATTAGAAAACAGGGGGGAAAAGTCCTCGGGCTTCTTCTAAAATTCTTTTTAAAGTCCGATCATCCAGACAGGAAAAGGGAATGCGATGCATTGGATGGCACCTTTGATAGAGGAGGAGCTGTTTGAATCGTGTTCATCACCAAACTGAGCTGGAAGAAAATGACAGAAGCCAGGCATCTGGGTAGTGTGAGTGTGTGTGTCTGTGTGTGTAAGAGAGAGAGAGAGAGAGAGACAGAAAGACAGAGAGTGGGAACAAGTGGCTACCTATTTAGTTTAGAAGGAAATGGACAATTTATAATAGCAATGTACAGGCATTTTAACTAATCGGGTCTAGAGGAAAAAGTCTATAGGATCCCTAGCCGGTTTGGCTCAGTGGATAGAGCATCGGCCTGCGGACTTAAGGGCCCCAGGTTCAATTCTGGCCAAGGGCACATGCCGGGGTTGTGGGCTCGATCCCACCCCCGCCCCCCCCCCCGCCTCCCGCCAAGTACGGGACATGCAGGAGGCAGCTGATTCATGATTCTCTCTCATCATTGATATTTCTCTCTCTCTCTCTCTCTCCCTTCCTCTCTGAAATGAATTTTAAACAAAGTCTACAGGCAAGGCTAGCTCTGGCAAAGGAATGCGGTTCTCCCATCTCCCAGCTGCGTGACCTTGGGCTGGTTTCTTAACCTCTCTCTTAGGCCCTGGACCAATCTTGACTGTGGAGAGAGCGCTTGTCACATAGTTAAGTGCTTTTAAGCATTTGCATCGGAAGCAAAAGTTCCGATCTTATGAGAAGGAGGGGACACCTAGTGGAGAGAGGTACTTGGGGAGGATCCTAACAGGCCCCAGGACCCCAGCCCCACCCCCTGGCGCTCTCAGAGCCCGAAGCCACCCCACCACGCGGTGGTCCCTGTTTGGCAAAGGAAATGTCTTTTCTCCCAGTTGCAGGCGGATTCGTTTCGGTTTGTTTGCCAAAGCAGCTACCCCACCTCAGGGTTTAACTTTCAAGTAAACAGAGCCCAACAGGCAATACTAATACTAATAAAAATAAAAAAATAAGAGGTCGCCTCCGATTACACCAAGTAAACATGACAGCCCGCGTTACTGCAGACGAAGCAAAACACTGGGACGTTCCCTCCAGAGGGTGGCGGGGGCCTGGCCCGAGTGCACCCAGAAGTTCATGGGAAACAAAAGGATGATAAGACGCCCTCTCTATGTAACGGCTTGATGTCATCCACAGCTGCTCACCCCACAGGACGCGGGGGAAGCAATAAATACTTTGAAAAGGGGACACTTTGTTCTGCGTTGCAGGACGACAGAGGGACAATAGGGACAGAGCGAAACCCCGAAGGTTGTCTGCACAGGACAGGGAGGGGCCCGGAGATAAATGGGAGAGTCACGCCTGACAAAGCATGTGCCACTTCCCCTCCTAGGCTCCGGGCCTCACTTCTGGTTGAAGTGAGGACAGAAGAATTCAGGGCAACAGACAGAGAGAGACAGGCCATTCCGAACGAGGGGAAGTGGCAGCGCCCCCCGAATTCGGGCAATACGAACGTGGTAGGAGAAGCTGTGGGAGTCCCAGGCTAGAGGTCTCTAAAGATCCACTGGGTTAATTTCTTTATGACTGGAAAGGCCAGAATATCTCCCCGAGACGCTGAAGGACGGGGACAGACACGGCTGCGGTTAGAGGAAGGTGGGCAGGGCACGCAGATCTGGGGAACGCGTACGGGGGCCTGAGGCTAGGAATTCTGTTCATAGGATGATTCAGGAGGTTAACGGAGGGCTGACACCTTCTATCTCATCCAACAGATATCGGCTGCGTCTTTCCCTTCTTATTAAGCTGACTGAAGTCCTTGTTTTGGGAGAGAAGGGGGGTGGGGAGGAAAAGGAGTGGAGAGGTGGGGACTGAGAATGACAGAAGAGATAGAAATAGAGATAAATTAGATAGAGATATAGAGGTGTAGAGATAGAGATGGTGATAGAGGTAGAAACAGAGATAGAGATAAAGATATAGAGATAGAGATAGAGGACAGGAAAGAAAAGGAGGAGGAGGAGGAGGAGGAGGAAGAGGAGGAGGAAGAAGAGGAGGAGGAGGAGGGAGATGGGAAGGGGAAGGGGAGATGCGAGCATGTAATGACAGCCAGCACTCCAGGTCCCGCATGCTGAATGCACCCACAGCCAGCTCGCCGCAGAGACCTACCTTTTTGGACAGCTTGCGGCTGTCTTCCACAAAGCGCTTTTCCCTGGGCGTAAAGGTCCTGATACTGGCTTTGACCTAGAAAGACATCCTTGTTAAAAAGGGAGGCATTTCTGTGAATTTCATTCCTCTCCTTCTCCTCTTCTTCATGAACCGGAAGGACCGGGAAACCAATCTGTTATACCCCTAAGGCCCTGGTGGGGAGTGGAGAACGGCGGTCCCCCCGCGCTCTGCATGTGTGCATGTGTGCGTGTGTGGGGGGCGTGTCTCATTGCATGAACTTCACTTGGGTGGGGGAGACCAGATCAGGTCTTGGAAAGCGACAAGATGTCTGCAAACCAACGGAGGTATTTAAACCACTGCAGAGATCAGCTTCATGACGTTCTCAGGCTAAAGTCTCTGAATAGGAAAACCTCCCTTCACGTCCAGTTTTGAGCTATGTTTTCACCAGTCATACCTGGCATGCGAAAATGAGCTTCTGGGTTATAGACCTATTTTGTACAGAAAAATCTCATTTCCTCTCCGTGATCTGGAAAAACAGGATGAATACCAGTTGAGAACTGGAGTGTCCAGTACGGACTTGATGGTTGAAGGGTTTTTTTGTTGTTGTTGTTTGTTTTAAATATGTTTTTGTTGATTTCAAAGAGGAAGGGAGAGGGGGGGAGAGAGAGAAACATCAATGATGAGAGAGAATCATGGATGGGCTGCCTCCTGCACGCCCCACATGGGGAACAATCCCGCTACCCAGGCATGTGCCCTGATTGGGAATCGAACTGTGACCTCCTGGTTCATAGGTGGACGGTCAACCACTGAGCCACACTGGCCGGGCAATGGTTGGGTTTTAAAATACTGTTCTCTTTCTCTCTCTCTTTCCCTCTCTCCTTTACTCTCCCTCTGTGCAAACCTTCTAAAACATTTTACACAGATTTGAGTCTCTCTTAGGCTGGCCACCTTTCCCATTAGGTATATGGCCCAGTTAGACTTACCGGATTATAGATGAGATCCATCTCCAAGTAAATGACCCCTTTAAAAGCTTGTTCTAAATCTTTATTCTTCAATACGTAGCAATTCGTTTGTCCATCTCGAATCTGTTGTAAGCGATAGATAAAATACAAACATTTGCTGGGGTTTACACTAAACAAACTCACAGAGTTGAGGATGCAAGACGCACACACAGATGAAACACCTATTAGGCAAATATTAACATCATCTTAAATCAACTTGTCATCGTAGAGTGCTCTTACAGTCGATTAAAAGCTAAAGCAACAATTACCAGGTTGATACTGATGATCTAAATGGAAAATTAGTGGCCTAGATGATTACTGCATTTCCATGGGCTTTCCTTCAAAAATCTCAGAGGTTATACATTTCTATTTATTAAAACAAGATAAATATTCTACAAAATCCCTGGCCAGTATTCCTCAAGACGGCCAAGGTCATGGGAAAACGGAAACTCTTGGGAACTGTCACAAATCGGAAGACTTTGGAGATAAGACGACGAAATGCCAAGTGTGGCAGGTCCCCTGGGCTGGATGCTGGAACAGAAAAAGGACATCACTGGGAAAGCTGGTGGCATTCAAACAAAGGCCACAGGTTAGTTAACAGAAATGGACAATGTCGGGTTTTGTGGAATTTTAGTTTTTGTTGTTGTTCTTCTCTTTCTCGTTGTTGTTTAGTTTTGACCAGTGCATCATGGGCATAAAAGCTGTCAACATTAGGGGCAAGGAGGAGAGAGAATCACGAATCGGCTGCCTCCTGCACGCCCCCTACTGGGGATGGAGCCTGCAACCCGGGCCTGTGCCCTGACCGGGAATGGAACTGTGACCTCCAGGTTCATAGGTCGATGCTCAACCACTGAGCCACACTGGCCGGGACAAGCCATATTTTCATTGACTATTGCTGTCACTCCAAGTGCTCGGCACAAGGGTTCTTATAAACAGCGGTGGAAATGAGTCGAGTAAGTCAGGGCGGGAAACAGAGCCATTCCACCTTACAAGGGCGGGGTCACCTTCCTTCCCGAAGTCACCCCACCTCGCCAGATTGAATGGGTCCTCCACAGAGAGATGGCTTTCCTGGCCGGCGGCGAAGAGGAAGGGGGTGCCCCATAAAGACCTAGGTTTCCTTCCGAAACGGGTTCCAAACAGGATTCGGAGCTTCCTCTTGTGTCCGCGGTCTCACTTAATGAATTGTGGGTGTGAAAGTTGAAAGAAATAAATATAAAAGCGGCGTGACCGTTTGCCAAGCTGACTGGCGTCCAAGTGAGCTCTGCCTCGACCCACAGGCATTGTACGCTGTTATCTTAAAATTTCCATGATTTCTTTAGGGTCAGGGGAGGTCAAACAGAAGAACAAGAGGAATCAGTATAAAAAAAATATTTTATAGTAAAAGAAGTTTTTTTGTGTGTGTGTGTTTTGTAGTTTTTTTTTGGTGCGTGTGCATGTTTTTTAATTTGGTAAATGATCGTTTCCTCTTTCTCAATGTCCTACCATTGTGTCAGCAAAACACAGACTCCACCTAGGGACGTTAAAGTAATCAGACTGTCCATTTCCTTGGAACGCTGGGCATTTTTATTTAACACACAGCAATTCCGCAGTAATAAAAAGGCCTCAGATATAATTAAGGCTATTCCTGTTTGGCACTTGAATATCATATTACCTTCAAATATATAAATTACAAGTTGAAACATTTTTTTTTAAAGTTTGAAAAATAACAGAAAAAAAAATGAAAGTTTCTCTGAACTTCCAGAGTTCTTCCCCCTAGATGGAAACTAGATAGAAATTTGGCATAGATCCTTCCTAAGTTTTTATTGAGACTTTACATTCATAAACTATACGGACTTTGCAACTTCATTTTAGCATCTGTCAATATGATTCGGATTTAAAAGTTTATAGTAGTATATGGATCTGCCTCATTTCTTTAAAGTGCTATAAATATTCAAAATATAAATAATTCACACACTTTCTGAATTTTCCTGTTGATTCCACTCTATCTGGCTGGCTGCTAGAAGAAAAACCTTTGGGGAAAAGGTCGCATATAAGGGGAAGAGGAAATATGCTACTTTGTAGGTGGAATAGGCTGGGTTTAGGAATAGATCCATGTGTTTAAATATTTAGTATTATAATTAAACACTGAAAATAATAACCTATTATTACAATGGGGAATGTTTCCCATATATTTTTTATGCATAAATGATTTTCTGTATTTTGATCAAACGTTTTCTAGGATAGAGTCCAAGAAATGGAATGTAGATAGTTCATGAATATGATCTTTTTTTAAAAAAAATTTATTTTATTGTTTAAAGTATTACAAATAGTAGTACATATGTCTCCTTTTTTTCCCTATTGACCTTCCCCCCGGCCTCCCCTACCCCCCATCACATGCCCTCACCCCACCCCCAGTGTCTTATATTATTCTTTAAATTCAAAAGATAAGAGAGTGAAAATATATACCTTAACATAAGACTGAAAACCAGGTGTCATTCACAAGCCATTTCTGTGTACTTGTCACTGTTTTCCCTGATTGTTTCACACCCACCTCTGAGACATATAAACTTTTTAAATTCACATTTTACAGATTAGGAAACTGAAGAACAGAGAAGTTATGTATCCCCAGAAATAAATCCCTAGAGGTGGAATCGCTGACTCACAGGATATGTCTATTTTGATGGCTTTTCCCTCCTACAGCACTGTATCAATTTATACTCCTAGCCTCTGTGAACCAAACCAGCCATTTCCTTACAACGCTGGGCACCTTTATTTCATATACAGCAATTTCACAGGAATAAAAAGGCCTCAGGTTGTTCTAATATCTACTCTTTTTATAACTAATGAGACTGAACATTTTCTCTCCTAAGTTTATTAACAGTGGGCCGTGGTAGGACTGGGAGACCAGACAGACTTAGATTCAATTCCCACGTCTGGCATTTAGCATCTGTGCGGCCAGGGGTAATTATATCTCTTCAAGTCTCAGATGCTGCTCTACCATAGATACCCAGAATACAAATGCTCCAAGATACATGTATGTTACATCTTAATCCACTTTATCAAGGTGCCTTCTACAAGGCTTGTACCAAGTCATGCTCTCTCTGATAGTATTTGAGAGTCCTTTTTCTTTTTAAAATATATTTGTATTGATTTCAAAAAGGAAGGGAGAGGGAGAAAGAGAGATGGAAACATCAATGATGGGAGAGAATCATGGATCGGCTGCCTTCCGCACGCCCCTCACTGAGGATCTACCCCGAAGCCGGGGCATGTGCCCTGACTGGGAACGAACCATGACCTCCTGGTTCATAGGTCGACGCTCAACCACTGAGCCACACCTACTGGGCGAGAGTCTTTTCCTATACTTAGTGCTCACTCCTAGTGAAAAATCTTTACTATAGGTGTCAATCTGACTGCTTAAACTAATTTAATGACTTGATGTAAAGGTGATGAAGGTGACAGCTTACACTGTAAGTGCTTACGGGATGCTATACAGCAATCACTTTACATTGGCCAAACTATGTAAACCCTCACCCCAAACCTCCAATGCAGGTATCATGATAATTATCTTCATCTCATCAAGAAGGAAATAGAAACAGAGAGGTTTAGCAACCTCGAAAACCACACAGCCCGATAAGGAAAAAGACCGGATGCCAATCCAAGTGGCCTGCTCCCTCGTCTATTCTCCAAATAATCATAATCTCGTCTGAATAAAGCACAAGCCATTCATAGGATTATTAGTTTAACTGTTCTGATCCCTACCTCTTCAAATTAACGTTTCTGCTGGGTAGACACGTCTTTTCTTTATTGATGAAAAAAAAACACACCTTTTCTGTGTTGGTGATATTATTCATTTTTTTTTTAAGTTTCCACTCATACTCCTCAATAAAATTTAGGTGTGTTATTCCTAGTGATCCCTATATTTCTTGTTCTTTCATAATTCCTAATGTGTTTTTCTCTTTTTTTTCATAGCCTTGTAAATGGCTTGCCTGTTGAATTACATTTTACAGAAGTAATCACTTGGATCTGTCAAATACACCATGTCCATATTTTCCATGTTGCTCACTTTTTCATGTCCATTAATTCCTTTCTAATGCCCTTAGTTTTATTTCCTTTTGCTGAGATGCTTAAATGATTTTCAGCCTTCGTTGTTTAATTATGAAAACATTCAAGTTAAGAATTTCCTCTGAATAATACTTTTGGCCCTTCTCTGCGGTTGTTTTTTTTGTTTGTTTGTTTTTTTCATTGTTATCTTTTTATTTGTTCGAGGAGAAAACATCCATTTCCAAGTGGGACATAATGTAATCGGGTTATTTTTTAAATTGCTCTGAATGAAATCTGAAATTAGAACGACCGTACTTTCATTCATTATTGAATTGAAATATAACATGGATACCTAAACATACATATCCCTTGGAAAGTTTGGTGTATTATCACAAAGGGAACATTCCTAGATAGCCTTTAGGAATCCTCATGGAATTACTAAGTCCTCTTTCCTTTCCCAAGGTAATTCTCCACGGTTTTTAAATGTACTATTGCACTGTTCCTTTCTAGAGCAGCAGTTTTGATATCTACATGAGCTACTTGGGATTTTTTCCCCCCAACAAGTGTTTTGATACTTGTTTCACTTTTGTTATTAACTTCTGTTTTCCTAGTACTGTGATCACAGTAAAGTCTCTTTTTTTAAAAAAATATATTTTATCGATTTTTTACAGAGTGGAAGGGAGAGAGAGAGTTAGAAACATCGATGAGAGAGAAACATCGATCAGCTGCCTCCTGCACATCTCCCACTGGGGATATGCCCGCAACCCAGGTATATGCCCTTGACCGGAATCGAACCCAGGACCCTTCAGTCCGCAGGCCGACGCTCTATCCACTGAGCCAAACCGGTTTCGGCATAACGTCTCTTTTTATTGAGGCATTTGGGACCTACAAGATGATCAATACATGAACATGTTCAATGGGAATTTGATCAGAATATTTTACATATTTACGTGTGTGTATGCACACACATGCATGAATTAAGCTCACTGCTCATTCTCTAAAGTTGGAGACCAATCACTTTGGTGCGCCTAAAATGCATCTGAGAACTTGCTAGAAAAGGAGACTGCAGCCGGGCCGACATGGCTCAGTGGTAGAGCATCAACCTATGCACCAGGAGGTCATGGTTCGATTCCCGATCAGGGCACATGAGGCTTGATCCTCAGTGTGGGGCGTGCAGGAGGCAACCGAACCATGATTCTCTCTCATCATTGATGTTTCTCGCTCTCTCTGCCTCTCCCTTCCTCTCTGAAATAAAATATATATATTTACACATGTATTTATTTTTTTTATTTTAAAGGAGACTGCAGCATCTCATCCCCAGAAATTCAGTAGCTATGGGATGGTGTGGGGGGCCTTTCATTATTAACACACTCTGTGCAACTTGGACTTTCAAAATTTGGGCTTTCAAGAAATATCACAGCCTTATTTATTTTTTCCTTCTGATAATTTTAAAGCTGAATAGATCATATGTGTGATCATTCTGTGATTCTAATTTTGTAATATTTCCTGTATCTCTAATACCACACACACACACACACACACACACACACACACACACACACACTTCTATGCAAAATCATTCACAAAGACCAGTGGTTCTCAACCTTCCTAATGCCGCAACCCTTTCATACAGTTCCTCATGTTGTGGTGACCCCCAACCATAAAATTATTTTCGTTGCTACTTCACAACTGTAATTTTGCTACTGTTATGAATCATCATGTAAATATCTGATATGCAGGATGTATTTTCATTGTTACACATTGAACATAATGAAAGCATAGTGATTCATCACAAAAACAATATGTAATTATATATGTGTTTTCCAATGGTCTTAGGCGACCCCTGTGAAAGGGTCGTTCGACCCCCAAAGGGGTCCCGACCCACAGATTGAGAACCGCTGACATAGCCGTTCAAGTGTGTTATAACCTTATTGATACTGACATTGGCTCTTTGAACCCATAAAACAGCCTCCTCTGTATGCCTGACTTGTATTTACAGTTATGTCATTGCTTTTGTTCATCCATTTCTGTATTACCAACCTTGTTGAGGTGTTCCAAAAATGTAGCACTGAGGTTTCCTCTTTGAATCACTGTAAGAGGTTTTTCCATCTAATAGAAAAGTTTAACCCATTCAACATCTACCATCATGCGTGCTATGTTGAGATTTATACACGCCATCTTCTTGTTATAGGACATTAAAGAAATCCTGCTGATGATTCATCTTCCTCCCTTAGCGGTCTATCCTAATCACATATCACCCACCCTATAAACTATACACACCATATATATTACATATGTTTCGTGGTAACTCCAGCATGTCAAAGCTACGCTCATAGTTTGCAGGGCCAAGAGAGAAATTTGCCTTACTGTATATCTTCATTTATGTATTTCAATGGACATACTGAACCAAAATTAGGCAAGGAGGAGAGCTGAACATTTGTGTTCAAAAATCACCATGTGAGCCCTGCCTTGGGACTACTTGTAATATTTTTTAAATTTAGTTTCCCATATATAAGTATTAACACAAAGTAAAAGATCAATGTTATTTATTTTAATGGCCAAGATTTCAGCATTAACCACAAAGCAAAATGATGGTGTAAATGTGTCCATTCTAATGTGCAAATCTCATCACAGGTGCACCGTGGGCAAATACGCGATTGGAAATGCAAATGGGGACTTGCATGGACATTTCCTATTCGGGAGAAGCAATTACAGGAAATTTGTCCCATAAAACTAATTCAGTGAAGCTGCTGCTGGTGCAGCTCGCGACTGCGCACATGGATTCACAGAGGAAGCTAAAGGCTGCGTGAGGCGTGCGTCTGATTACAGATTCACATGCTGGCGTGGATTGCACTGAGAATTAGAATTTGTTTCGAAATGTAGGGCCTCATCATGCCGCAGACATTCGGAAATAATAATAATGAGATGCTCTTCTTGTTTTACAGAAATCTGATTCTCAAAGCCTTCCTCGGTTGGCCCATTAGATAATTCTGAGAGGGTAAACATATCCTATGTAATAAAGAGCTAATATGCTAACTAGACCGAACAGCCGGACGACCTTCAGGATGAAGCCGGGGCTGCAAAGGCTGGACAAGGCTGCGAGGGGCTGTGAGGGCCGGCCAGGGCTGCGAGGGCCAAACCCACTGCATGAAATTTGTGCATCGGGCCTCTAGTATTTAAAAAAGAATGACCTAGATCGATGAGAAAAATCCAGCCGGATTTTCAGGACAGAATTAGGACCGCTTAGCTGAGGATAGACATGTTAAATAAATCTACTGAATCAGATAATTATTAGGAGATGGTGTCTAGCCTGGAAATGTTTTAAAACTCTCCAATGGTTACACTATTTTCCAACGCATATTTACTATGTTATCAACCAGAAGATTTAAGGAATAAAATGTTTCCTGTTAGAAATACTTAGCGTTTTGGCATATTTTTCATTAGAATTATCTCTAGACCAGTGGTCGGCAAACTGCGGCTCGCGAGCCACATGCGGCTCTTTGGCCCCTTGAGTGTGGCCACGAAGTTTCAATCGCACTGTACGTGCGCGCCCGAACGTGGTATTTTGTGGAAGAGCCACACTCAAGGGGCTGCAGTTTGCCGACCACTGATCTAGACGTTAGGTAGAGAATCAGTTCAGTTGGAGAGCGTGTGCTGCAGGAAGAGCCCCCATAGACCCTCTGAGGAGCTGATCACTTCCCCAATTTATTGATCAAGGAATCGGAAATCAATCTGAATAGCAACAGCCACACCTTGCCTGACCCGCGTGGCTCAGTGGGTGAACACAGACCTATGAACTAGGAGGTCATGGTTTCAATTCCTGGTTGGGGCACATAACTGGGTTGTGGGCTCCGTCCCCAGTAGGGGGCGTGCAGGAGGCAGCCAATCAATGATTCTCTCTCGTTATTGCTGTTTCTATCTCTCTCTCCCTTCCTCTCTGAAATCAGTAAAACCATATTTAAGAAAAAAAAAAAAAAAGGCTGGTCAAAAAGGTTTGGTTGGTTCAATCATATTGGACTGACACAGCGAGAAAATGATGTCACTTTATATTTGAAACTACTGGAATAAAACAGTTGTTTCCGGCTAGAGTTTCAAGTGTTCTCCTGGCCCAGGTTGAAAAGATGTAGTAGTTTAGACCATAGAAAGTTGTCAACCGCACAATGACTCACAAACTGTGTATTAACAAAGGCAACTTACGGACAGCAAGGGAATGGAGACTTTCCCAAGGAAATCCGGGGGTTTGTCGCCGTCCTCATCAAACACTGTCACTTCCAAAGCATCGTGGACGTCTTTAACACGGCTGCAACGAGAAACACACCACGGATCACATACAAACACACACACACACACACACACACGCACACACACGTGGAGTCGGTTCCGTGAAGAACTGAAAACACGGTTTCACTAATTAAGTCTGCACGTCCTCAGAGTATAAAACTACCATTTAATTAAACTCCAAAAATTAAATCAAACTGACGATATTCCCAAACCTTCCATCAGAGCAGATTCAGTCATCCATACGAGAAAAGGCCAACTTTCTTACTAGGTGACATTTTCCGTGTCTGCGTGCACGCAGGGTGGGGCCGTTAAAGAAACAGGATGGAGAGGGAATGGCAGACAGAAGGAGGAGGGTAGAAGGATGGTGATTTCAAAGTAGCTTCCGAGTAAGAAAAGCAAAACGAAGATTCTTTTTAAATGAATGAAGAATTCACTTAATAAGAAAAGCAAAACTAAGATTCTTTTTAAATGAATGGAGAATTCACTTAATAAGAAAAGCAAAACTAAGATTCTTTTTAAATGAATGAAGAATTCACTTAAAAATCAGTGGCTAAATTCATTGCTTGCTGCCCTCGCTGGTTTGGCTCAGTGGATAGCGGGTTGGGCTGTGGATGGAAGGGACCCGGGTTCGATTCCGGTCAAGGACACATGCCCAGGTTTCAGGCTTAATCCCTGATCGTGCAGGAGGCAGCCGATCCATGATTCTCTCTCATCGTTGATGTTTCTGTCTCTCTCTCCCTCTCCCTTCCTCTCTGAAATTAATAACTTTTTTTTTTTTTAAAGATGCCTTCGGATAGTCCAGAGGCTACAGGACTTACAACGTGAAAACTTTGTTCCACTCGGGGTTGAGGGTCTTGTAGATGGTGTGCGTCTGCAGCCGGTCATTGCCCAACTCCAACAAGCAGAAAGGGTCGCTCTTCCCTGGAAGGAAAACACAGACGTCGGTCAGAGCCACAGGGATCTCAGACGGGACAGAGGCCAGTGAACCAAGGCCACGCGCTTCCCTGACGGTGCCACTGTGCTGGCTGAGAGGTGAGAGCGAGCCGTCTCCCCCGCAAGCCGCGTGGGAGCCGTGGGTCCTGCCAATGCTGCAAGTGTGGCATCGTTTACAGGCTGGCACTGACACGCAACCCGGTGCCCGGGACCACACAGGTGGCATAGGAGCAGGTGGTAAATTGTCACGTGAGCGAGTCCACTTTTGTGTGGTTGTTTTTACGTGTTTATTGATTTCAGAGAAGAAGGGAGAGGGAGAGAGAAAGAAACATCAATGATGAGAGAGAATCATGGATCGGCTGCCTCCTGTAAGCCCTCCACTGGGGATCAAGCCCACAACCCGGGCATGTGCCCTGACCGGGAATCAAACCCAGGATGCATGAGTCTGCAGGCCAATGCTCTATCCACTGAGCCAAACCAGGTAGAGCTGGTGTTTTCTTTTAAATCAGAAGCTCATCTCTGTTCCCTTTTTAGATTCTCTGTGAGTTACTATAGGTCCTTATTCTTCTATAACAGGAAGCCTACAATAGCTCACAGGCCTCCCATGGTGTGATGGAAGCAGGAAAAAGTATAAACATGGCTATTTAGGAGTTAAAACAGCTTTGCAGGGAGTGGCCACACACATATAGGAGCCTATGTATTCAATACATTGTGAGCACATACGCTATATGTTTGTTGCTTGCAAATGAGCAAAACTTCAATCCCAAAAAGTCAGTTCCGAGTTTTTGCCTTAAAAGAAGAAAAGCTTGCATGGCCGGGGTGGCTCAGTGGTTAAGCACTGACCTATGAACCAGGAGGTCACAGTTCGATTCCCGGTCAGGGCACATGTCCAGGTTTTGTGGGCTCAATCCCCGGTATGGGGCATTGTGGGGCAGGAGGCAGCTGATCCATGATTCTCTCTCATCATTGATGTTTCTATCTCTCTCTTCCTCTCCCTTCCTCTCTGAAATCAATAAAATATATTTTAAAAAAGTAAAGCCCTAGCTGGTTTGGCTCAGTGGATAGAGCATTGGCCTGCAGACTGAAGGGTCCTGTGTTCGATTCCAGTCAAGGGCACATGCCCAGGTTGCTGGCTCGATCCCCAGTGGGGGGGCGGGGGAGGAGGCAGCCGATCAATGATTCTCTCTCATCATCGATGTTTCTCTCTCTGTCTCCCTCTCCCTTCCTCTCTGAAATCAATAAAAAAAAAATATTAAAATAAGTAAATAAAAATAATAAATGAATGGCCCCAATGTTCCCCAATGGCACGGAGGAGACACATACATGCTCAGGGTCTGTGCTCCACCTGTGTTTGCAGGTGACGCATCCAGGTGACCTCGGCCACAGCCAGATGCCGTGTCACCTTGACAGTTTCACGGTGTTTTAGCACCTCGCACTCCATCGCCTTTGCTCCGTCCGACCCCACTTGACAATTCATTGACATGCCTCGAACGGCAAGCGGAGGTGTCTCATTTAAATAATTTTACCTTTATATGAGTTACAGAAGTGGGATGACAAGTAATAAACGGATTTTAGAGGTCATTTCATCCATCTGACAAATATTTATTAAGCATGCCCTTAACGCCTAGCGCGGGACCAGGCCCTAATGTACACAGGCCACCAGGTCATTACCTTTATGGAACCCTCATAAAAGCTCTGCTTTTTTTAGCAAATGTCACCTTTTCCATGAAAACTGCCCTCATGTTCCCGGCCAGTGGGCTGCGTGCTCCCACCTTTGATCCCTGGCTGTGTATTTTCCCCGTGTCTCCTACATCCCACATCTATGCATCTCTGTTCCGTAGTGAGCCCTGTATTTCGCAGAAGCAGCCCGAGGCAGGCAAACCCAACATATGTCCACATGGGCCAGTGACGGAGGACAGCGGGGACGTTGCAGGCTGCTGGGGACGGGTGTCGGCTGGAGAGGGCTATGCTTTACGCGGGTTCTCATTTAACCCTCCAGGAGGTAAGGGATGTCGGTGCAGAAGAGGAAGCTCAAGTTCAAGGAAATCTAATCTGGTTGATTAACGTCTACAAGGAATTCACAGCGCAGGTGAATTTTAACCAAGGTTTGGGAGGGGACTGATCTGTTTAGCAGAAACGGGTAGGTCTTTCTTCATGAGACAGGGACAGATCGGAGCCTTAAAATGATTAACAAGATAGCCTGGCCGGCCTGGCTCAGTGATTGAGCGTCAACCTATGAACTAGGAGGTCACGGTTCGATTCCCGGTCAGGGCACATGCCAGTGTGGGGCGTGTAAGAGGCAGCCGATCAATGATTCTCTCTCATCACTGGAGTTTCTATCTCTCTGTCCCTCTCCCTTCCTCTCTGAAATCAATAAAAATATTTATTTAAAAAGGCACAGAGCCGGAGCTCGTTTGGCTCAGTGGATAGAGCGTCGGCCTGCGGACTGAAGGGTCCCAGGTTCGATTCCGGTCAAGGGCATGTACCTGGGTTGCGGGCACATCCCCAGTAGGGGGCGTGCAGGAGGGAGCTGATCCATGTTTCTCTCTCATCGATGTTTCTAACTCTCTATCTCTCTCCCTTCCTCTCTGTAAAAAATCAATAAAATATATTAAAAAAAAAAAAAAAAGGCACAGAGCACCTAAATGGAATAAAGGCAAAAAGTAAATTATGTTTATATGGAGGTACCAGAGAAAAGTCTTACCAAAAGGTTAATTTAGCAAAGTCATGACACGAAGAATCCATAAATATCCTGAAAGCTAAACGCTCAAGTACATTATCGAATCATAGCACAATTATTTGAAAAATAATAATTTGGTGAAGAAATTGTTCCTTCCGTCAAAAAAATTACTTATCTGCATCTTATTTTTTCTGCTCCTCTATTTATCAATTTTCAAATGAAGTGCCACAAGAATTTTTAAAACATGCAATACTATTTAATCAGGGGCCCTGACCTCTTTTCCCTGAGATTATCAAATTTTTAAAAATGACAACAGCCAACACAACAATAGCCACCTGGTGTGAATTCCCTGTATTGAGCCATAAATATCATATAGGTCATATAACGGAGCTGCATCTTATTGGTCATGTCACCTAATAAGGTTGCATCTGACTGGTTAATTCCTGGTACCAGAAATCCTCATATACACAGTACAAATATAGGCACCTGATTTTTTAAAAAAGTCACTTTGGAGCAAAAAGGAAATCAATTACTATCATTTTTCCCAGTAAATCAATCCAAATTGTACCTGTTTTTTTTGTCAGATCAGCAAAAGGTATAATATATTTTTTGAATTTCAGTAAATAGTTTATGTGTGCCATGAGATGAAACAGGTCGAAAACCGCTGCTTTATTTGGAAAAAGCATGATTGCTGTGTACGTGCTTCTACTTATTAAAACACTAGAGACCTGAGGCATGAAATTCATGCAAGGGGCTGGGCCCTTGCTGCCCAGCTTCGTCCGGAAGGTCGTCGTTCCTCTGTTCGGTCTAATTAGCATATTAACTCTTTATTATATAGGATTTTGCTTTGCCATAAGATGACATAAACGAGGGCGATAAATAAAAATAAAAATGCAGCCCTAACCGGTGTGGCTCAGTGGATAGAGCGTCGGCCTGTGGACTGAGGGGTCCCGGGTTCGATTCCAGTCAAGGGCATGTACCTTGGTTGCGGGCACATCCCCAGTGGGGGGTGTGCAGGAGGCAGCTGATCGATGTTTCTCTCTCATCGATGTTTCTAACTCTCTATCCCTCTCCCTTCCTCTCTGTAAAAACTCAATAAAATATATAAATAAAAGTGCATGAAAATGGTTCCTACCTGAGAAGTCAGCAGCTAAGAGGTCCACAGCCTTTAAAACCTTCACTTGTAAAATGCCGATGTCCTTCATGTCTTTCAGGGAGTTCTGCAAACACTGAGGAGAAAACACACACACACGTGGATCACAGACGAAGCAGCTTTCTCCTACCCCCTCATGCCACAGCGCCCCCCGGGAAAAGCTTTCTCCATGGATCGCGGCCTTTCTCAGGCATCCGCCCGGAAGCCTCGCACGGTGCACCGTATCCGTCACCGGGACACTGAGGCATCGACAGCAGCCAGATGACACGCGCCTGGGAGTTAATGAACTCCAGCTCCGAAATGAACACATTACACACACAGACAATCGGCTTTTAACACGGCCCCGTGGCGACAGCGCAGGCATCCCGCCGGGAAGATGCGTGTGGAGCGGCAGCCCTTCTCCTCGTGTCCGTCTTTCGCTGTAAGGAAACTTTTCAACCACCTGGGAAGGCACCATTGCTCTGCCCTCGTTGGTGCGAACCTTATGGTGAACCAGAGGGCGACACGTGGACCCTCCGTGGACGGTCATTACCGCGGGAAAGAGAGGAGGGATGGAGATGGAGAGTGAATTTTCTGGTCCACGCTTTAGCCACGTTGCATGGGAGACGGAGCATCCAGCATCGGGTTTGCATTTGCATTTATGCTACTTTTTCCTTTGCCGAGACTTCGACACGGGATGGGGCAAAAGTAGGTTTACAGTCGTGAGGATGCGAAACATAGAGTTTATTCTTGCATTATAATTCATTAATTATTGTAGTAGTTGCAATATAAACAACTGTTAACCTATGTTGGCCCACCTGGTATATCTACTGATATACGGCATTAAGTAAATATCTATCCAATATACCGTCTAATTCTTAAGCATGTATACAGCCAATACTCAGAAGTCTATGTACATTACGTCCTTCAAAACTGAGTATCAAAGAGATATAAGCAGATAAAATCACTCGAGCGCTTTCAGCCACACTCACTGAACAGGATGCCACTTTCAAGCCTTTGGATACAGTATTTGTGCCATCATCAAATAACTAAAAACCTGCGAAAGGTTGATCCCGGGGACTTATCACAGGATTAAAAAAAAAATCCTTGTCACTGAAGCATTTCAGGGTAGAATAATAAAAGCTTCATAATAATTAAGGTTTGCTTACCCTCACATGCACTGTTGCTAAGAACTTTCTAAAGCTATTTCTGATCTGCATTTTCAACAAAAAAAATAACAAAAAAAAGAGTAGCGTTTAAGCTTAAATGAAAACATATTAAGTGAAATAATTTTCAACTTTGAAGACTGTCTATTCTGATGACATAAAGAAACAAATCCAACCCAGCCCAGCCAGTGTGGCTCAGTGGTTGAGCACAGACCCAAGAACCAAGAGGCACTGGTTTGATTCCCAGTCAAGGCACATGCCTGGGGTTGCGGGTTTGATTCCCAGTAGGGGGCGTGCAGGAGGCAGCTAATCAATGATGTTTCTCTCTCATCGATGTTTTTATCTCTCCATACCTCTCCCTTCCTCTCTCTCGAAAATAAATAAAAACATTTTGTTTTTAAATCCAGGTGTCTGAAACTTGTGTCTTGTAATACAGCATTCTTTTCTGATGCATATCAGAAACAGCTTTAGAAAGTTCTCAGCAACAGTGCATGTTAGGTAAGCAAATCTTAATTATTATGAAGCTTATATTATGAAGCAGCTCACTAACTAAAAAAAACTGTAGCCCTAGCCGGTTTGGCTCAGTGGATAGAGTGTCGGCCTTCGGACTGAAGGGTCCCGGGTTCGATTCCAGCCAAGAGCACATGCCTGGGTTACAAGCTCGATCCCCATTTGGGGGCGTGCAGGAGGCAGCCGATCAGTGATTCTCTCTCATCGCTGATGTTTCTATCTCTCTCTTCCTCTCCCTCCCTCTCTGAAATCAATAAAGAAATATATAAACAAAAAAATTAAAAATAAATACTGTATCTCTCTTGATCAGCCTTTTCAAATCTCTTTTCAATTAGTACTCTGGAAATCTTGAGGCATTACTTACAGCAGTCATTATGATCTCGTCTAGTGCCACCTTACAAATATATGACACACCTCATGAACTTGGTAAAATTTCCAAGTTATCCATGGGAAAATTGGAGGAAAGTTTTATTTTTCATCACCAATCCTTCACTCGTTTACCTAAAGCCATCCGAAAAAAATATGAACAGTGGATTGTGTCGAAATGTCTTTGGAGGACGCCAACCTTGCCTGCAGAATGCGTGTTAACAATAAGATGTGTGGCCACAGCATCTTGTACTCCCGAAGACGGAGAATTTTTCAATTAATCAATACACCTGCCCGGGGAAGGGATGGGAGGCACTGAAGTTTATGCCGAGAATAATATTCCCATTAAATAAAGATTCGTCTTTGCTTCATTTTTATGCCCCTTTCCTAAAGCGTGTCTTTCGTGGGTGGCAACAAACATATTGATTTACACAGAAGATGAGATAAAAATGGAATGCAAATAAAGACACCGAGAAAGCCAGAGGACAGAGCCATCTGATTTAAAAGCGCTGCGTGGACTTCCAAGCACATGGCAGCGACTTAGACAAAATTCTCAGATGCCAATATTATCCCGGGTCGGGTAGCACAACAGTCCTCCCTGCCTGTGAAGGGCTTGGCTTGGTAAGACACAAGCACTGACTCACTTGCATCTAGAAGGTTCTGGAAAAGTATAACACTGTGACCATGAATAGTTGCTTTAAAAAAAAGCTATTTTGTGATGAACGTGTATTAAAATTCCCATCCACCTGCACAGACCTGCTAAACAGTAGTTTGTCTACTTGAGGACTTCAATTTCCTCCAAAGACTTCCTAAAAGCTACAAATTCAAAATCCGTTGGTTGGCCCGTAGAATAGCAGGAGGGTAAATTCTAACCTGCTTCCACCTTCTCACGAACACATTAACCTCTAGGTCTGATGTCTTGTTTTATGGGACACACCATTAAACTTTGGACAAAGATCTCTTTCTACACAGTTTCTCAGTTCATGGACTTTGGTGCGACTTAAAAGTGGGGGTGGGTGGCCGGCTGGTGTGGCTCAGTGGTTAAGCATCAACCTATGAGCCAGGAGGTCAGGGTTCAATTCCCGATCAGGGCACATGCCCGGGTTGCGGCCTCGATTCCCAGTGGGGGGCGTGCAGGAGGCAGCCCATCCATGATTCTCTCTCAGCATGGATGTTTCTATCCCCTCTCCCTTCTTCTCTGAAATCAATAAAAACATTTTTTAAAAAGTGGGGGTAGGGCCGGGACGGTGTCGCGGGGCAAAGCACTCACATAGCGCTGGGTGATCTGCTTCCTCTCGCTGGGGTCCGCCAAGGGGCACACACAAGGGTCGGACATGGAGACCCCCCCGCAGGGCGTCAGCGTGATCAGCACCAGGAGGGCCCCCAGGCAGCTGTCCAGGGGCAGCTCTAAGCAGTTGGCTTGCTTGAGTGGGAGCGAGGCGATGTCCACTTTACATCTGCAAAAGCGCACACCGGAGAGAGGAGAGTGAGGAGCTAAGCCATGGCTACTTGGGGGCCTCCGAAGAACCTGTTTATTTATTACCCAAACCGCATTCTACGGGGCCTGGGTTTCCTGGGCAGGGAAGGTCGAGAGGGCTCCCCTGGCTTAAAACACTCACTCCTAGCCCAACACCCTCAAAAATGAAGGAGAGGAGCCCGGCCAGTGTGGCTCAGTGGTTGAGCGTCGACCCATGAACCAGGAGGTCACTGTTCGATTCCCGGTCAGGGCACATGCCTGGGTTGCAGGCTCGATCCCCAGTAAGGGGTGTGCAGGAGGCAGCCAGCTGATCAGTGATTCTCTCTCATCATTGATGTTCCTATCTCTTTCTCCCTCTCCTTTCCTCTCTGAAATCAATAAAAATATTTTTTTAAAAAATAAATAAGTAAAGTGTAGGAGAGGAACGGTAAGGAATGGAATGGCAGATGGAAAAGTGGAGTCAGATCCTTGCCCAATAAGGTCTGCAGAAAGACAATGAGGTCAAGAATTAGGGAGAGCCCTGTCTGCGTGGTTCAGTGGTTGAGCATCGACCCATGAACCAGGAGGTCATGGTTGGTTTGATTCCCAGTCAGGGCACAGGCCCGGGTTGCAGGCTCGATCCCCAGTGTGGGGCGTGCAGGGGGCAGCCGATCCATGATTCTCTCATCACTGATGTTTCTCTCTCTCTCTCCATCTCGCCTCCTCTCTGAAATCAATAACAATATATTTAAACAAAAAAAAACAGAATTAGGGAAAAAGGACTTTACAAGTTCAAGTATCATGGCTCTATGGGGCTTTTCTGCACCATGTCTTTTTCCAGCAAAGAGAATAAAGGGTTCAAAAACAATTTAGAAAAGACCAGAGATGCGTAAGTGGGAGAGGGTGAATGAAAAAAACATTTTCTTCCGGCTGAACGCCGGCGGGCGGGCGGGCGGGCGGGCGGGCGGGCGGGCGCGTTTTTATTCGCACCGATGTGTTAAGGTGCTTTCCTCACAGACGGGTTCCACGGGGCTTCCCCGGGCGGGCCTCTTTCTGGACAAATGGAGCATGAAGTGCTGCTGACGGATGCCACTTCAGCCGCGCGGCTCGCGAAGGCGGGCCCCATCTGCTATAAATGGCGTGTTTTCCGTCTCTTCACAGCCAATGTTCTGGGCTGTTGAAAACCTCAAGCACATTAAAATATGGAAGCAAACACCACGAAGGGGGGCTGAGTGCTAGGCGCTTATTTGCTTTAACACTGAGAACCCTGGGTTTGCCTGGACCACACCTGCTTTGCTGATGCTTAGAAGGGCTGCGGGGTGGGGGCTCAGGTTGGGGGTGGAGGCAGGAGGGAGGGAGGGAGTGACCTGTGTGGAGTCCCAGGGGTCCTCAAACTTTTTAAACAGGGGGCCAGTTCACTGTCCCTCAGACTGTTGGAGGGCCGGACTATAGTTTTAAAAAAAAAAACAACTATGAACAAATTCCTATGCACACTGCACATACCTTATTTTGAAGTAAAAAAACAAAATGGGAACACATACAGTATTTGTATTTGCATGTGGCCCGCGGGCCGTAGTTTGAGGACCCCTGGTTTGGACAATCATTCAGAGTATGCCGCATTCAGATCTTAGAATATCTAGTCAATAACAGCTCCAGGCCTGGCCAGTGTGGCTCAGTGGTTAAGTGAAGACCCATGAATAAAGAGGTCATGGTGCAATTCCAAGTCAGGGCACATGCCCGGGTTGTGGGCTCGATCTCCAGTAGGGGGCGTGCAGGAGGCAGCTGATCAGTGATTCTCATTGATGTTTCTCTCTCTCTCTCTCTCTCTTTCTCTCTCTCCCTTCCTCTCTGAAATCAATTAAAATATATATATTAGTCTATATATAAAGAAAGGAATATAGGCCCCTCCCATATTGAAAAGCCCATGGTTTTATTTGTCTAAAGAAAACTAGGCTAAATCACTTATTTTTTCCTTAGCAGCAGGCATATATTAAAGCTATGCTCTGCGGCCCGCAGCCAGTTAATGTGCTGAGATAGCATTGTTTCTGACCTCCTGCGCACGCCTTTCTCCATTAATCCCACCGCATTTTATTGTTTTAATTCCACACATAATTTTACCGTATCCGTCAGCCCAGCCTGCTCAAGTGTCCCTTGCCATGATAGCTTTTAACCTCGCTCATTACCATAATTCTATGTTTTATATTTCAGGCTGGCCAGCTTTTAACTTAAATGCAAGGGGCAGGAAAGAGTGCTGTAGTGTTCGAAGCCGTAAATCTCAGAGGCTAAGGAAGGGGGAGGGGGGGGCCGGTGAACAGGAGGAAAACGGGGAGCGTGTCAAGCGTGGCTGTAAAAGCAGGTCGACGACATGGGAGCCATTTGTGCAGGGAAATATTCCATCCCTGACTCTCCACTGATAAACCGGTGGAATGTCAGGGCCCCGTCGAAGTCACCCTGTGGGACCCAGAGGCAGCCGGGGCTCCAGCATCCTCCTTCTTGAGTTGCCCAAGCAAAAGTAAGTCTAGAAGATTCCATAACGAGTTCATCCCTACAATCGCCTTGAAATGTAAAATACGTGTCAAGAACACGATTATTTTTAACAATTGGTAGCAGTTTAAAATGGGAGAGTCTACAATCTATATTCTTGCCCATTTTGTTTAAAAGTTGGAGCAGGTTAGACTGGCCGGTGTTACTCAGTGGTTGAGCGTCGACCTATGAAGCAGGAGGTCATGGTTCGATTCCCGGTCCAGGGCATAGGTCAAGGTCAAGGGCATACACCTGGGTTGCAGGTTCCATCCCTGCCCCACAGTTAGGGTGCGTGAAAGAGGCAGACAATTGATGTGTCTCTTTCACACTGATGTTTTTCTCTCTTTCTCCTCCTTCCCCTCCTTTTCACTCTCTCTAAAAATCAAAGGGAAAACATATCCTCAGCTGAGGATTTTTATAAAATATATATTTTTATTGATTTCAGAGAAGAAGGGAGACGAGAAGAGAGACAGAAACATCAGTGATGAGAGAGAATCATTGATCAGCTGCCTCCTGCACGCCCCCATTAGGGATCAAGCCCACAACCTGGACATGTGCCCTTGACTGGAATCGAACCTGGGACCCTCCAGTCCACAGGCTGACGCTCTATCCACTGAGCCAAACCAGCCAGGGCAGGTGAGGATTTTTATTTTAAAAAAAGCAACAGAGAGTGCTCAGGAGACCGTTATGACTGACTCTCACTGTCAAAGGGACTCCTGATGCGAAAAGGTGTTTCCCAACATTTGGGAGGTCAGATAACTGAGCCTTGAAATGACAACAAAGAAAAGAAAATGGAAAAAAATAAGTGAAAAATGTAAAATAAAAAACTGTAAGGAGCGTGTGCGTGGTATGTACACGCTCGCCCCATCTCCCCGCTAACTCTGAGGATCCGTCTGCATTTCAGGGTACGTCTCACCCCACTGGGAGGTTCGCTGCAGCTAATGCCCTGTATCCGGCTCCCGAGAGATACTTTTGTGATCTCTTTGACTGCGGGAGAGGAAAAAGGAAAAAGATACAAAAAAAAAAAAAATCCTTTAAAATCCATAAAAAGAAAGGACAGAACGGCCACTAGGACAGGCACACAAACAAGAAACAGCTGAAGCCATAAATAAACACCCGGGTGACAACACACGGCCTGAAAGGGACGTCGGAAAAGAGCGTTTCTGTCCGAAGACACCTCACACTCACGGGGAAAGCACTTCCTGTGACGTGGGGCAGCCCTGACAGCACAATGCACGGGGTGAGAGCGAGAGGGTGTTGCTCTTTGTACCGACACAGCAGGTCGGCCGTTCATCACTGAGGGCCTCGTTCCCACCACTTGGAGGACAGATCGGGACACAGAGTGCTCTGCGGCTCACTGACGTCGCGGATCCCTGCCCGGGGCTAGCACAGCGTTTCTGACCCCCCCGTGGACGGGTGTTGGCGGGGCACGGGCATGTCACAACGGTGCCCAGGGTCAGGGTGATGAGAAGGGTCTGAGGTGTCGGTCACCCCGAGTAGGTGAAGGAGGGGGAGAAGGGAACAGACTAGAAATCGGACCCACAATATCCTGAGAGTGTGGCAGGACCTACTTTCTTCTGTTTTGATCAATACTACATGGCATTGCCCAGCCACGTGGCTCGGTGTCTGAGTGCCGACCTATGAACCAGGAGGTCACGGTTGGTTTGATTTCCCGGTCAGGGCACATGCCCCAGTAGCGGGGCTCGATCCCCAGTAAGGGGAGTGCAGGAAGCAGCTGATCAATGATTCTCTCTCATCATTGATGTTTCTATCTCTCTCTCCTTCTCTCTTCTTCTCTGAAATCAATAAAAATATTTTAAATAAATAAATAAATGGCATAGGATTGCATAAAACGTAACACTGCCTTGTTCAATTCAGAACATATATAGATGTAATGTATATAACTAGAGGCCCAGTAAATGAAATTTGTGCACGGGTAGGGTCCCTAGCTAGGCCTGGCTGGTGATCAGGGCTGATTGGGGCCTTCTGGCTGCCGGCCAGGGCCTCCCTCCCCAGCTGCCAGCTGCTGGCCAGGACCTTCCTTCGTTCCACACCATCCCCTGGTGGTCAGGGCATGTCATAGCAAGCAATCAGTCCCCCAGTCAAACTCCTATGGGGGTAATTTGCATATTAGGCTTTTATATATAGAGATAGGACAAAGGATGGGAAAGAAATGGAGATAGATTGACATTTCTTTTTTCTTTAAAATATATTTTATTGTTTTTTTACAGAGAGGAAGGGATAGGAATAGAGAGTTAGAAACATCGATGAGAGAGAAACATTGATCAGCTGCCTCCTGCACACCCCCTACTGGGGATGTGCCCGCAACCAAGGTACATGCCCTTGGCCAGAATCAAACATGGGACCCTTGAGTCTGCAGGCTGACGCTCTATCCACTGAGCCAAACCGGTTAGAGCTAGATTGACATTTCTAATCTCTCTCTCTCTCTCTTCCTCTCTGAAATCAATAAAAAATACTAAAAAAAATACTAAATGCCACTGACCAATAAGTAAATAAAACCTGCCCCCAGGGGAGGTTCCAGCGTACTTCTGGCTCCCTGGGGTGGGCAGGTGCGGTCTGACCCCAAGCCCAACGGGCAAAGACCAGCCTCGTGCAGAAGGCGCGGCGCACGTTCCCACCACGAGAAAGCAGAGCAGACTCACGTGCCCAGTCGCTCCTCGTGCTTTTTGCCGTCCTTTCCCCAGACCTCAATGTCCAAGATGCCCATCCTGTCAGAGAAGTAGTGAAAGTCAAACTCTTCCCGCCACTGCGGATGTGCACTCTTACACAGTGTCTAGAAAACATGCGGTTACAACGTTTATTGTCTTCGCACTGCCATGCGTCGCCACAGCAGCTACACATTTCAATTCATCGTTCTAAACGGCAGGGGCAGGAGCTCGGGGTGACGTGCCTGTCTGTCCCTTTCCAAGTGAAACTTTTCCCCTCTGGGGAAGGAAAGGGACTTGGAGGTGTTGGGGAATTGGCAAAAACATCACCACTCTTTTAGCCGACCCCCAGATGCAATAGTGGATCCCACCAAGTTAGAATGAATAGTTACCACATGAGAAACCATAACTTTTATATATATATACTATAGGCCCGGTGCATGGATTCATGCACCGGTGGGTCCCTCAGCCTGGCCTGTGGGAATCGGGCCAAAACCGGCTCTCCGACATCCCCTCGAGGGGTCCCAGGTTGAGAGAGGGAGGTTCTTGGGTGATGCACCCTGGAATCGGGCTCCCTCCTCTCTAGTTCCTAGTGCATCACCAGAGAACTGCAGCTGCCAAGTCACCGAATTTCGGCAGCTTCTGCGCTGAGCGTCTGCCCCCTGGTGGTCATTGCATCTCATAGCTACCAGTCGGATGGTCGCTTACACTTTTATATATATAGATATATGCATGTATATGACATATCTCAATGGATGTTTTACAGCTGTCCAGTGTTACAGGAAATATATTCATTGGTTCATGAAATCATTTTATTGGCACATCCATTCAGCACTGGCTTAAGAACCATATAAATGAACAGTTTGGGGTCCTGATTACTATCTGTCAGGTGCATTTCACAAGAAACCCACGAGTTCAATCGTTCATCGCTGCCTATTTTTTTAAATCCCAGTTTGCTGACTCCAGTCCCTAGAACAGCGGTTCTCAACCTTCTGGCCCTTGAAATACAGCTCCTCATGTTGTGACCTAACCATCAAATTATTTCCGTGGCTACTTCATCACTGTCATGTTGCTCCTGTGATGAATCGTCATGTAAATATCTGATCTGCAGGATGGTCTTAGGCGACCCCTGTGAAAGGGTCGTTGGACGGCCAAAGGGGTCGCGACCCACAGGTTGAGAACCACTGTTCTAGAGGGAGAGAGAGAGACTGGCAAACCCCGCTGCCGCTACGTTTGAATATGAACGAGGGTGGTTTGAAAATTCCGCAGCATTTCTGTGTTTTCCGAGTGGGACTCCAAACGGCCCGAGTGTTTGAATCCCTGGCAGGGTTTATCTCTTCTGTTTCATTTACATAGAGATTCAATTTGTGGCTTAAAAAGTGGGCAGGAATGCTGGTCCCTGAGTACCAGCCTCAACGAAGGGCACAGCATCCACCATTAAATCTTAGTGCCCGCTAGTACCGCATGGGCCAACAGGGACCAGCCGGCCCTGCCTGTAGCCAGCATCACATCACGTAACATCACTTAAGCTGGTGGTCACACTGGACTTAATAGGCCAGGTCACAGAATTTAGCAACCACGAAGGAAGAAAAAAAAAAAGGAACTACTAGACCACAAATTAAATGCAATATCCCCCAAGAGGGGGCAGAGCAGATATCGGACTAATTCTCCACTTCACCTTAGCTCCAAAGGGCTAAGTGTGCCCCGTGATGAATAATTTTTCTATAAATCCTTCGCCCGGCCCCGGCAGGCTAAAGGGACCTCAGCCAGAGATGTGGTTACCCTGGATACAGTCTCTGGGAGGTATGGCCTCAGACTACCTGGCGAATAACATCGGCCTATTTCTGCCGGAACTCGCCCTCGATTTTTCACATTTTTTTTTTATGAACTGATTCGTCAGCGTGAGCTTCGATTCTCTAGTCCTCGTCCTGGTGGAAATGACGCTTCATGTTTGCTTTTGCGCTGAAATTTGTTCAGCAGAGACAAACTCTTGGCTACTAAAGCATTTGCCAACTTGTCTGTGTCTGTTATGCCTTCCACGCGGCAGAGGCCGATCTGCAAATATCCTGTTTTTGAAAACCTTCCCCTGATGTTTTTTTTACGATGTGGCTTTTGGCAAGGGGCTAAACTTTCAAGGACCCCGCTTCCCTCCATCCATAAAACATAGAACAGACTCCTGTCTGACACTTATGTAAAACTAATTAATTACCATGGTTTGGAGACTACGGTTTTTGAAATAGAAACCACACCAAATTAGTAAGATTAAAAATTAAATGGAATTCGGATCAACAGAATCAGATGACTGGCTTGGAAAGGCAGCTAAAAATGCCAGGGTTTCTGTTCATAACAAATCACTTTTAATACGTTAGATAGTTTGGTGTGTTTTTGTAAATCATAGCAAAAAAAAACCCAAAACAACCCCCCCCCCCCATTCCAGCAGCACTCAAAGTCTATTTTTGCTGTAAAAACTAACAAGAAAGAGAAAGAAAATTGTATATAATTTTGAAAATACTTTTAGTTACTGCAAAACTGTAACCCAAGTATAACATATATTACTCGTTTATTTGAAAGCGTTTCTTTCCTTTTCCCGCATCCTATGAAACACGGTTTTTGCTTATTTTCAAAACACAATAAATCACGCATTCAAAACTATTATTTAATGAGCTTTCTGCAGCTCTAGTTACTGGATGGAACTAAACTCAGCAAACACTCCTACTAATTGACGGCATCCGTACTGTTATTTTGCTTTCTGGAATAATCCGAACATAGTCAAGACGCAGCGGTTCTCAACCTGTGGGTCGCGACCCCTCCGGCGGTCGAGCGACCCTTTCACAGGGGTCGCCTAAGACCATCCTGCATAGCAGGTATTTACATGACGATTCATCACAGGAGCAACATGACAGTGATGAAGTAGCCACGGAAATAATTTTATGGTTGGGTCACAACATGAGGAACTGCATTTAAAGGGCCAGAAGGTTGAGAACCCCTGGTCAAGAGGGTTAAAAAGAAATGACTTCTATTCTTGTAGACATGGAGCGTGGGGAAACCATTTTTTTTTTTTCAAAAGAAAAAAAATAATCTCTTTGAAGATGTTGTTCTCCTTCAGGAACGGCCAACTCACCTTGCTTTTGTACCTCTGATCGCCCAGTTTTAACAGGACAAACATCTCTGCCACATTTCCCACCGAGACGTTCTTTCCTTCCAGCAACGCGATGCTTATGGTCCCGTCCCAGAGCTGGTTCTTCCTCAAGGCCTCTGAGAGCCGGAGGCTGCGGATCACCGAGGACTAGAGCAGAAAGCGAAGGGGAGAGATGAGCTCGCTGGTCATTCCCGAGTGCGGCGCTGGCCATCACAGGCGTTCCCGCGGTCAATATTCGATGACAGGGAGCACGCCTGCCCGGAGAAAGGGCTGCTACTCCTCACGGGCTGTGCAAACCTGCAGTCACAGTTACGGGATCTCTTTCTCCAGCCCTGGGCTCGTAGCGAGACAGGGAGAGATGGCACTGGCTTTTGGCACTGGCCTGTCCTCCGACCCAGCTCTTGGGTAGGCATCCTTCACCTGGGCCTTTGGCTATTTTAACAATAGGAAGGGAAGAGAGGCACTCTGGGAAACAGAGGTATGAGAACAAGGCATTGCTTTGCAGGGAAATGAAATATCTATGGGCATTCAGAAATAGTGGTGTGTGTTTTTTTAAATATATATATTTCAGAGAACAAAAGAGGAGAGAGAAAGAGAAAGATCAATGATGAGAGTCATTGGTCAGCTGCCTCCTGCACGCCCCCTACTGGGGATCGAGCCCGCAACCGGGGCATGTGCCCTGACAGGGAATAGAACCGTGACCTCCTGGTTCCTAGGTTGTTGCTCAACCACTGAGCCACACCAGCCTAGCAGAAATAGTGGTTTCAAATTTATCCTTCGCACTTGAATCTGTCCCCACTCCCCTTTGTTCTTTTGTTCGTTGGGCGACTACTAAAGAACTCATGCCCTTGCGAGATTCCTAACTCCAGACAGAGCCTGGGATTGGCCAGCCAGATGAGCTTTGCAGATGGGGGGGTGAGGGGAGGGAGAGGAAATAATGTATAGAGGACTTAGCACAGGGCCTGGAACCCAGGCCAGTTCAGTGACTATCAGCTTATTTTGTTTCTCTTCTAAATGATGTTACTCACGCCCACTCATACACACCTTAAATCAAATGTAGAAAAAGGGCAAACATCCCCTACTAGTAAATTATCAAGTGGACAAGCACACTTTAATTTCCATTATGTGAGTTTCCAAACATATACAAAGGTGGAACGGTATATAAAATCTCCACGGATCTATTCACCAGAGTCAACGATTTGCCAACCTTATTTCATCTATCCCTTCACTACTTGCTTCTGGCTGAAATACTGGAGAGCAAATTCCACATTTGTGGTTTTTTGTTTTTTTTTGTTTTAAATATATTTGTATTGATTTCAGAGAGGGAGAGGGAGATAGAAACATCAATGATGAGAGAGAATCATAGATGGGCTGCCTCCTGCACGCCCCCTAGTGGGGATCGAGCCCGCAACCAGGGCATGTGCCCTTGACCGGACTCCATCCTGGGACCCTTCAGTCTGCAGGCTGATGCTCTATCCACTGGGCCACACCAGCTAGGGCCCACGTTTGCTTATCTATAAGCACGATGCTCACAAAAGCAGCCATAATTCCCTTCATATCCTTAAGTACCCAGAGCCTCTTTACATTTCCCTGACGGTCTCAACCATGTCTTTTTTTGCGGTGAGTTGGTTTGGGTGCGAATCCCAACGCGACCCACAGACTGCATTTAGTTGGCGGAGTTCATTTATGCTCTCCGCTCAATAAATGAAGTGGTGCAGGCACACGGCTTTCTCTGAAGGAGAAATAAATGGACTGAGGAATGTAAATGGCGCCGAGTATCATAGGAAAGCAATGAATTTCTAACGCTATAGATTCATCCTGTCACCGGCTCCATAGATCTTCCAGGCCGTTTAGACACCGATTTGCTGGGACGCCAGTTTGTCACAATTTATCACAACAAATGGTACGTCAGGGCCGTATTAATTACAGACCGGCTTACCTCATCCGGCACAGGTCGCTCTGCCACTCCGAATAAAGGATGCAACGAGGCCACACCAAGCATTCGGCTGATCGTTTTATAACCTCCTTAAGCACTGAGAGAATCTATTCTCCCAACTTCATATCCATATCGCTGTTCTCATACAATGCACACACATGCGTACACACACACACACACACACACACACACACATGGCTTTTGGAGGTGCTGAGACAGAGAAGGGAGGGCAGACAAGAAAAGAATTAATTTTAAAGAGAAGAAAAATCCCTCTCCGCTGGAGAACATAATAAACCTTCTTTGGTAACTTCTACCTGCCCTTGGGTTGTGGATCGAATATACTCAGAATGAAAGTTGATAAAATAGCTAAAAGCTAAGTTGATAAAATAGTTAAAAGCTAAGCATATTTTTAAAAATATATATGTTTTAGAGAGGAAGGGAGAGGGAGAGAGAGAGACAGAAACATCAGTGATGAGGGAGAATCATTGATCGGCTGCCTCCTGCACGCCCCCTACTGGAGATCGAGCCCGCAGCCAGGCATGTGCCCTTGAACAGAATCGAACCCAGGACCCTTCCGTCCACAGACCGATGCTCTACCCACTGAGCCAAACAGGCTAGGGCAGCAATTTTCTCCATGTTAAGAGCCACAAACACCATCACAATCTCTAGACAGACAGGCAGACACGTATATAAACATCTAAGTGTATGTGTTTCTACGCCTATAGGTGTCCGTACAGATGTAGCAATTGTCTAAATACATGTTAGAGCTTATTAAGCACGCAGGCTGCAGGCTTCTCCCTTCACAAAGGAAACGGGACTGTGATTCATCTGCCCCGCTGCCATTTCCTGTTTTGCGTGTGTTTTTCTTCTGAAACTCTGACTTGCCAACCAGCACACTAATGCATGGCCTGTCCTGTGACCATACTTCAAAGCCCCGACAGATAGATTCCTCCCTCAACACTGAAGCGATTTCAAAACCCTTTTTATAAAGAAGGGAGGCCTGTCCACCCGAGATCAAAGGGCATCCCTACAGTCTGGCAACCGCCTAAGAAAAATGGCCGCGCTCCCATGAAATATGCCCTTAAAATAATTCCGGGGCTTGGTATGTCCTAGTTTCAAATGGGTTGTTTATCTTGGACGGGCTTCTATCTAACTTGTCCAAAAAGCAGCCCCGCTTAGCTCGATGAGCTCTGTGAAAAGGGGATCCACAGCCGGTCGTCAAGGGGGCCCCGGAGAGAGGTTCCATCTGGCAGGACAGCCTGGGAGGGCGCGGAGCAGGCCTCCAGCGGGCGCGGCTTGGCTGGGGCTCCCGGGCCGGCCCGGCCGCGGACACCCGCTGCATTACAGCGTAACATCTGGATGATTGCTCGCCGCGTCCCTGGGAAGTATCCGCTTTCCATCAAAGCCTTTATCTCTCTCTCGGTCGGACTTTGAACATTTCGGTCTGTAACGCAGTCGTGTTGGATGTGACGGGCTCGCTCTGTGCTGTCCAAGATTTTTTTTTTTTCCTTCCCCTCTTACTAAAGGCAGGCTAGGAAAAGAGCCGTATGCATTGCACAGCTCAGAGAGAGAGGGGAGCATAAAACCTTGCCCCAGCCGGTGCGGCTCGGTGGATAGCGCGTCGGCCTGCAGACCAAAGGGTCCCGGGTTTGAGTCTGGTCAAGGGCAGGTACCTCGGTTGCAGGCTCCTCCCCAGCCCAGGCCCTGGTGGACGAGGTTTGTACAGGAGGCAACCAATCGATGTGTTACTCGTACATTGATATTTCTCTGTCTTTCCCTCTCTCTTCCACTCTCCCTAAAAATCAATGGAAAAACATCATCGGGTGAGGAATTAAAAAAATCACACCTTTATTCTGTGTATTTCACCCTAAATACTCCTGCCCACGCTAAGGTTATCTATAATAATAAAAGCGTAATATGCTACTTAGACCGGCCGGAAGCCAGGGCTGTGAGGGCCGAGCCCCTGGCACGAATTTCGTACATCGGGGCCTCTCGTGTCTAAATAAAGTTTCATCTGCTCCCAACGCATTCTGGGATATGTGCACGGGCTTTTAAAAAAGTTTCTTAATTAATTGAACATTTCTCTTCCACCCTGGAGAGCTGGGATGAAGCTCAGAGCCGTCCGGCCATCCCGTGTGAGCCGCGGGGCACAGCCCGGCTCGCCGATGCCTTTGTGGTCTTCAAACGCCCCCTCTCCCTCCCCACGATAAATCGACTCCTCTGCACTCACTCTGTCAGCTCAAGGGCTCAGGTTTGCACGGGCGGCGGGGCCGAGCCTGGGAGTGAAATTTGTCATCTTAATGCCGCCTGGAATGTGAAGGGAGAAAAGGAAATGACCCATCAAAGCAGAGGCCGGCCCCACCTGCGCCGAGACAAACACCCCGAGATACAGCAAAGTTTCTGGGTCCTGACCCTAATTTCTCAGCAGACAGAACGGGTAAAATATGGGGCATCGGGGTTTTGTTATGTTTCTCCTTCCTCCCCAAGGATCGGAACCTTTTACTATTTCTATGTTGATTCATTCATAGGTTCTCTCTCTCCCTACACCCCCCACCCCCCGTTGCCCCCACAAACCCACAGCATTCTTCCAGATAGTGACTTCCCTCTGAAACACACCCATTATTACTGGTGAAAACAAGGTGTGATATTTAACTTTGACATATAATGACTTTCATTAAGAAACCAGACAGTTTGGCCCTAGCCAGTGTGGCTCAGTGGATAGAGCTCCGGCCTGTGGACTGAAGGGTCCCGGGTTCGATTCACGTCAAGGGCACATGCCCGGATTTCAGGCTCGATCCTCAGCAGGGGGCGTGCAGGAGGCAGTCCATCTATGATTCTCTCTCATCACTGATGTTTCTATCTCTCTCTCCCTCTCCCTTCCGCTCTGAAATCAACAAAAATATGTATTTTTTTAAAAAAAACGAATAAATGGCTCTTACCTGGAATGGATTGCTAGCAAAAGGACCGTGCCAAACTTGCCCCAGATTAAAACGATGTACTGAAGTGGATTACAGCTTGACCAATATCAAAGTAATCCTTTGGGTGTAATAAAATACCAAAAATGTTTTTTTTTTTAAAGATAAAAATTAAAGAGGGGCAGTGAGGAAAGAGTTTCACGAGATTTTGCTGGTAGGTGCCAAAGACTCGGTGGGTACGTTTTATATCATCTCACTCCTGGAAATATAAAAATGTGCTCCTATCTCGCCCATGC